GCAGCACGACTGAGGCGGTGCGGGCGGGAAGCCGCCCAGGGTGCCGGCACGGCCTCACCTTCAGGGGGGGCGCTGCCGCCCCACGTTCGAGGAAAGCCCACGTTTCCCAGCTCCGCCCGCCAAAAATAAGCCCTCTGCCAAGTCCGCGAAGCAACCCGGTTCAAAAGATGGGGGATTTTTAATTTTTTTGTCCAAGGCACCTACCTAAAAGTTCCAAAATACGCACAAAGATGAAGAGGGGGAGAGCTCAAAGACGGGGGGTGCCGGCGAGGCGGTCACCCCGCGTACGAGGGGAAGGGGGATCTCGGGCGGAGGGTGTCGGCAGGGCTCGGGAGCCACGTACTCCCCGGCTCCCCCCCACCACTCCCCGAAACAAAAAAGCCAAAACCTCCGAGCGCGGCGGGGGGCGGGGGTTGAAGGGGGGGATCCTCGCCGTCCTGGCTCTTTCCTAACAGCGGGAAGGCGGCGGCGACTAGCTGCGGTGCTGGTAACCCGGTGATTAGGCAACGCTTTGTGAGGGGAGAAGAGGAAAGGCTGAAGTAATCCTGACGTGAATAAAAATATTAAATAGCCGAGCAAGCTGTACCTGGATTTCATGAATGCGGCCGAAGCCGTCCTTCCAGAAGAACTCGTAGAGGTTGTAGAGGGTGTTGGGTCCAGGCATTTCTTGCAGGCTCTTCACCCTGCCAAGCTGGTGCGGGCTGGGCTTCAGCAGCTCCCCTGCGCGCCCCGGGTCTGCCACCATCTCCTCGCCTTTGTTCTCTGCCGCCGCTGGTGAGTTATTCTGCACCTCCAGAGACTGGCTGCTGGAAAGTTTGGGCAGTTGGTGAAACCTGCCGACAAAAATCGCGTGGTAAAAGTAAGTTCTCTCAGATTCAAGCGCCTGCTTGCATTTCATTGTCAAAACCCTCGTGAAGAAAGACATGTCTTTTAAATTCAGAAAGGTCCACTTTGCTCCTGCAGCTGCTTTTTATTTGGTTGCTCTTTCTTCACTGCCTGCTTTAACTTGTACAAGCAGCACTTCTCCAAACTTACTGCATGAGCATCAGTTTACACAGACCATTATTTAACGCTCCCTCCCCTAGGGCTGGAAAAGGGGGGTGGGTCTGGGATGAGACTTGAATAGAATGAACCTATTATTTTGTATAATTCAAAGCAGATAAGTTTACCCATTAAGCATGCAGCCAAAGTTTAGTTTTTCCCTCTTTCCCCCTTTGGTTTGGCAGAAAGCTCACATAAGGATTATCCTATCTTTCTCCTTCATTAAAAAGGTGGGTTTAGGGCTATTTTTTCTGTGGCATTAATTCACTCCCATGTGTTAGAAAATACTGTATTTTCTGCGAGAAGTTCTCTTGGTACCATTCTTCATCCTTTAACATATACGGAAAACATTTCTGCATCCACATACAGATAGCAATGGTTTTACACAGCAACCTTACAAAGAGTTCCTGTAAATTACAATATCCAGGGATGTTATTTGTATTGCAGAATGATTTATCTTTTGGACAGGAGCTTGTGCCAACTTTTGTAGAAAATCACCAGTGCCCTGTAACTACATAGTGTTCCACCACAGTTTTTCCTCAATTCGGCGGCATAGATCTGTAGTCACACACAGAGAACTTGAGCTCCAACCTGTCTATCAGTTTGGTTTGCACAGTTTCAAAAGTGTTTGTGCTATCTTCATGTGTATTTCTGTGTAATTCCGTAGGTGTTGGTGATAATCTGTAAAATGTTGATTAGTTTCAGAAATTATGTGGAAGAGACCACCTTGGTTTTAACTGAATCAGAAGCTCAGGTAAAGCTTGAGGACAGAGGAAAGTCTCAAGGAAGATCCACATTTCCAGAACTTAGTTATGAATAAACTGCTGGAAAAGTAAGTCTAGTGAGCTTCAAAGTTATTTGCCTTTGTTTTCCTTCTGTTTATTTTTCTACATTTATATTTTTGAGTCTGCAATCCAATTAAGATTTGTGTACATGCTTAAATTTTACCACTGATAACTCCACTGAAATAAATCTACCTCTGAAGTTAGACATGTGCACCAGTCTTTGTAGATACAGCAGTAAATATTACAGGAATAAAAGGCAGATGGTCAACAGTCTTAAAATCTGTAAAGTACATATTGGTTTGAGCTAAAACAATGTCTTTAAAATGGGCTTCATCATACTTGAAAGGGTCCAGAGAACAGCAACATTAAAAATTAGAAGTTTTTTTTTAAAATGACATAAGGAGGAGGTTGAGAGAATTATTTCATCTGGGAAAGATGACTACCAGGAGCATGACAACAGCCTACAGATGTTTACACCTTTTGTTAAAAAAAAAGATGCATGTCGGAGAGAGAAGACAGAAAATAATGGGCTTAGTTTACAGCTACAGATTTCTTGGTTAGATTTTCAGGCAGCCTTGCCATCACAGATATTTTGGTGATATCTCAGATATTTCAGATAGCCAAGGTATCTCAGGAGGTTATGTAATTGCTATCACTGAACTTTGTAAGAACAGGTTTGAGAAACATCTGTTAGGCACGTCTGGGTATATCACTGTCTAGATTACCTCTGAAGTTTCCCTTTTCCTCCTCCATTTCTACATGGTGTTGCTACATTATTTCTTTAATATTTATCTAAAGATGCGTTGAGAGACACAGTTACTCATAAAATAAATACTTATGAGGAAAAATATTAAAACCAGCTGGTGAGTGTAAAATTCAGAACAAGTTTATCATCATAAGTAAATGGAAGGCTCCCTTAGGGACAGTGGAGGACAAGAACAACAAGGAATATCTCCCAGAGCAAGTAGATGCACTATGAGATCTCTGCAGGAGGATTAAAAACCAGAACATTTATTTATTTGACAGAAAAGATGGACACACGTCCTAGAACATGCAAAGAACAATCCAAACTATCTAAATTATCCACACTATCTAAATTACATTTGTCATATTCTATGAACAATAACCACAAAAATTTAAAGGTGTTGAACAACAGTTGTCCCTAGATTGTAAGTCAACAAATAGAATGGAAAGAATAGGAATTCACTTTGTAATGAACAGCAATATAATCCCTTAGCTATACATATTAAAGGTTATAGCAGAATTTAAAAAAATAATTCTTAATCTCAGTACAATACTTTGAATTTTTTTTTTTCAAATTTATGCAGCAGTTCTCCAGCTTTAAAAATCATATTCATATTGTAATTCCTAGATTGATGGAGGGAATATATGCACTCTTCCTAAAAAAATGCTGCTCACAGCTATCAGTATGGTAGGTATTTTTTTTATTATTTTAAAGTCATACACCATTAAGATAGTGTAAAGCACCTGCATCTGCTTTTGTTAATATGCTAGTGAGATAAACTCAGATACATTATGCTGTGAAGGCTACAGTTTTGCAACTGGCAGTAGCTTTCTCCTGTTGTACGTTAATTCCATATTTGGACATTCACTCTTTTCCCACCATTACCTCTTTTCCATAAAAAAATCATTGCAGGAGAGAGTGTTTCTAGCCAAACTACTTGAAAAAGAGTTTCAGAAGTCTTGCCTTGTAAGTACTTCACTAGAACAGTACCTGTTTCCCTCTGAGGAATTTCTGGAGGTGGCAGTAGTCCCAGCATAGGAACTGTGTTGTATAACCCCACTTTCACTCAGTCTTCTAAGCAGTTCACTTATTGTTAGATTTTTTTTTGTTTGCACTGAAAGAGTCTGAAACACAGATCCCATTTAAAATAAACAGGTAAACACTCAGAGAGTATGCAATTTCAGCAAAAGAGGGACCTGAAGGCAGCACTAATTATCCATATGCTGTTCACTTCAGGAGACATTAAACCACAGAACTTGTGTACAATGTGCAGGACAGCAATACAGGACAGAGTGCTGTGTTATCATTTTAATATTATAAAGTAGAGTTGTCTTGTCTTTAATTGCAGCCAAGGCAGCTATGCTTCTTCACATCTGTAGCGTGTCTGGAGGATTATTTATGACATCATTTCTACCTTGCCAAGCTGTTCTTAAATAGTTACCTTGCTCACTACTGTATCCTCCAATGTAACGGCTACCTGGTGTATATGTATATGAATAGAGAATATGTATATTCTCTATTTACTAGCTCACCTGGTGTGGCATGTAAACCAGCTGCAGACATTCGGATCTCATTATTGGCAAATCTTTAATATTAGTCAAATAGCCTATGATTACCAGCTATCAAGTTTACATGTGCAGCTTATACAATCACAGTAAAGCCAATTTCAGGAAAAAATTCTAGCTATCCATTGTGCTAAGTCTCCTGAGGAATTTGATGCTCTCTCTGCTGTCTGGCTAGGCTTTGTTGTTGTTGTTTTTTAAGATAGCACTCAATGATGGAAAGTCTAAGACAGTTTCTCCCATTACCCACATGCAAATATTTATTAATGCAAAAAAAAAAAGAACAAAAATTACAGGAAAACCTCAAAGTATGTAATTAACTTTGAATAAGATTTTATACTTACTGTCTGTCTGCTTCTAAAGAAAAGGTGGAATATATGTGCCATTTGAGAAAAGAGTCCTAACCAGGGAGCACCTATGAGACACCTCCATTACTACTTACTATCTTGTATTTTTATTAGAAACTACCATCAGTGTTTTACAAACAAAAACAAAACCACCCCATCCTGAAGAATTTCCAGAGCGGGTTAGAGGCAACAGCTGAGTATAACAAAGAAATAAATGAAGAAAGCACAAAGTAGCAATGAATTAATGGTTAAAATTGCCAAATATCTTGGATATAACAGGAGAAGGATTTAAAGGGGAATAAGGATGCTGTTCTGCAAATCTGTATAAAGAGTGCCTGCCTTGTACAAAAGGAGATGTGAGTGGATTGACATCCACAGAAACGTAATTTTTAGGTAGTGCAGGTGGTGGACCAGTAGTAGGTCTGAGGACCACTGGGCCTAAAAGGCCGACATACTGTAGTTTGTCATAAGTGAGTAACAGATGACAAAAGAGTCACGAAATAGGTTATCAAATAACCCTGTTTTAACATTCAAAAATATCTATAAATAAAAGATATTTCTAGGAGGTTTGCTAGATGGAGTAGAAATGCAGAGCCACTAACAGATGCAGGCTCAAGTACACTATTGCAACACTACAATAGTTATCAATAATACTATAGTAACCCATCAGTGCAGATACAAGTTTGGTTTTCTATGTAAACTATGGAAGAACACTCCAGACAACAATAGCCAAATTCTATGGTGGTTAAGTAACCAAGTACAGTAAGTGAGTATTTATGAATGTGAATGAATACATGTGGGCTACCACAACATGGAATGTGTAATTAAACTATTTGCTTCTCTTTGCTGTGCCAGATCATAATTGTGTGGTTCTGTTTGACTTTCAAATTAGAGTTATTAACGTATGTGCACGCCACTAAGGTTGCTGCTTTACCGACACACTTAGCATCCTTACTACTGCGGAATCTGAGTTGGAGGTCAAACTTGCAAACTGCAGCATGTTAAATAATCAACATTATGAGTAAACCCCAAAATTCATGCTACAAGAGACAGACGAAGCTGAAATAAGTTTCCTAGAGTAGACCTGAAAAAGAGAAAGGAAGAGTGAAGGAAAGAAACCAACAACCACTTGAAAGAGCAGCAGAGGGTTTTACATAGTGAAAGGTTTAGGGTGTAACCTAAACTGGTGGAGGGATCGTCATTGCCTGATCCCATTTTCCTCAAATATGATCACAGACTTGTTTCAGGTGACAGAAGTCCAGTAGTATTGCCACAGAACTCCCAGGAATAACAGTGAGTGTAGTACCCGTAATATAAAACCTCCTTCCAATCCACATAAAACCACCAAACCATAAAGAAGGGAGAAGTTATGCCATCAGCACTAGCCAACCAAAACACATTTATGTGACTCGAAAGATAAGTATTTTCTCCTACTTCTATGATCT